AGAGAGAGAGAGAGAGAGAGAGAGAGAGAGAGAGAGAGAGACTGACTGAACGGTGATTGAGAGAGAAGAGCTGAACGGCGGTGGCGGCAGCCATCTTAACACTACCGCACTAATCCGAGATATACATCTTCTGGATATTTTTCGCAACACTGAGCTAAATCAGATTTTACCGGGCGAGAGGAGACAGAATAAGAGTGTTTAAATCTTTCGCTGTTTTTATTACGAAGACGGGATGCGGATCCGCGGGGTGAAGCCTTTCGCTTCTGCAGTCGGTCTGCTTTTAGTACTATTATGCGCGGTGGAGGCAGCCAAAGGTAAGATTCAAGACCTAGTTTTATTTATAATGAAAATCATAATATGTAAATGTTTATATTCTCTGGTATGCGAAGATATTAATACAATAATTTCACACACACACATATATATATATATATTTTTTTTTTTTTCTCCGCAAGTATCCTCGGTCAAGGTTTCTAGACAATGATCTGAAATAATGGCTGTGAAATAAAGTGTGTGGATCTTGCGTCCACATTGCAGCTTATTAAAAATCAATCTCTGCTCTTAATTTCCCGTCTCATACTGAAAAGATGCCATGAAACAATTGCCGTGGCCTGTCAGCTGTGAAATGTCCACTCTCCTTCACTTGACAGCTATTTTTGAGTGTCAATCCTTTAACACAAGAGTCTTCTGTGCCAACACCCCGCGGCCAAGACTTCATCCTGCAGCTAGTTGTGCATCAATAACGTTACAAACCTGTGCACTTGATTTCTACTCCATTCTCAAACGCACCGTGGGACGTTGTATACGATAACTAAGTTGTTTGTATTGTATTGATAAAATGAAGTGTGCGGTCCGCATTGCATGTCCTCTGTGGAATACTATGTGTCTGGTTTTAAACATTCATCTTTGAAATGGCTCATGCGCAGCTAAATATGACTGAAGGACATCGCTGCAGGTGCACGCGCAGACATCACACACACACACACACACACACACGGCTAGATGTGCCAAACATTTGCTTGTGAAACGCTGCCTTTCTAGAAATATCCTGCCGTGCAGTTACCTTGTTCATTATTCTTAAAGGTACAAGTGTGAATTACTCTGATGTTAAATCTTAGTATGTGGATGTTATTGAAGAAATGTAGCAGTTAACAAACATTTACATTGTTTGTTTGTTTGTTTGTTTACATGAGTCAATGACGTCTTTTTGTTGTCTAATTATCCTATAGCCTATGATATACAAAAATACACTACAAAATATATATATTTTTTTACATTTAAAAGTCATGTTGATGTTTTCTTTTTTGAGAGGTCAGAAAGTCAAAATTGTCAACTGTTATGTACGTTGAGTGTTTAATGTGCAAGTAAAAAATGTTAGTAGGGTACTAGATGGTTACACCACTTGACATTTTTGGAGTCGTTAGGTGAATTTGTAGAAAATAGAACAAAAAATGAAACATGATTTCTAAGGTCTTGTCACATTTAAAAACAGGATTTTTAAAATATTGCTCCTTTTTTTTGGACATCACATCCTTGTTTGTATTTGAACCACATACAAATCAAATTTTGGATATCATCATTCGTTAATAGGGGTGCTAATAATTGTCAGTCATTATGTTGTTGCCATGTGACTGTGAGGCAGCTGGGAATGCATGGCCTGAGGCCATTAACATATAAGATAATTAACAAGTTGTTTTATGGTCTGTGGTGCAATTCATGGGTTGAGACTTAATTTAGAACTTTGTATGTGCATGTGACAATCTTGACTCCTGTAGCTTTTTTAATAGTTTGATCTGTGGTTTTCAAATATTTTACATTTTACATCAAGTAATGAACCAACATCAGTCGATGTCCTTGAAATCAAACATTGAATGCATTAGTATTACCTTGACCTTCATAGGCAGAGCAATAGGAAAAATGATTAACATGACATTAGCTGAATAGTCAAATTTAGCAAATTCATAAACCACAACAAAAGTGTGGTTTACCAGACACTGGTACAAATATTGCATTTGTATTATCCATACCAGGGACTAGTTACTCTGCATTTTATTACCATTGAGTTTGATTGGACGCAGAGGCATTGATGTCAACAACAAATCATATGAGACATTTTCTTCTCTCTCTCTCTCTCTCTCTCGCTCTCTCTCTTTTTTTTAAATGAATAAGCATATTCATCCACAACTCTATCAGAACAGACCTCCAATCCATTTTTGGGTTGCACGCCACCACTTAAGAACCATTGGTATAGGTTTCCTTGCTTTACCAAAAATGTCTTCAGTCTGGCGTGTTTTATAAGTTTGGAGTCGAAATTGCAATCATTTTGTGCAGTCCCTAACAATTTATGCCTTGTTAGGAATAGGATTGTGATTACCATACTAAAGTACTCTTTGGATCTGTGGATTTTGCTAGTTTTTCATCACTGGAAAATTGAGATTGCTTGACAGCCAAAAAATGTGTCACTATTTAGAGTAGCACTTGTGATTTGTCTAAAATTCACAGACGAGCAAAGTCCTCCATTTTCTCTCTTTTACAGAGTCTATGTATTCACAAATTTAAATGTCCACCTCCACAAATAGGGATCTCTAAAGTAATATTGCATTTGTTTAGTGGATATTTTTACAGTTTAATTATAAAACTTCTTCGAAGACTGCCATATTTTCAGTTTCTGAAGAATGGTTAGAGGTTAATTAATGCATTAATTCAAGCTGTGCTCACAAAGCAGTTACTTTTACTTTTTAAAAGGTGTGAAGGGATTTTCTTGTGTTTAATTGATGTAATAATAAAGCTTCAGTAAGAAATCTTTGGAAAGTTACCAGAGTATATCAGAGAAGCTAACTTTCGCCTGCAGCTTATAACGGTGATGTATTTCTATAATTTGTCTTCTATTGACAGATGGTTGTTTGTTTGGTACAAACTTTATGATACATTTGTCTGATTAGACTTGCTCAAAATTTCTCATGTTAGGGAAAAATGAAGATGATTATTCATTTCATAGCTTCTTGTAAATCCCTTTAGCAGTTCACAACATTTCAGATTGGAGAAGGTTTTGTATAAACAGCTGCTTTGTTTGACTCCCGTGGCCCCCGGTCATATGTTTTGCCTGTTTCAGCAAAGTGAATCCTGTAGCAGAATGTCTTAACTTACAGATGGCTTGATGGATAATCTCTCAGGATTCTTCCCATAGGAACTAGATCACTTTTGATGTGTTGGTTTTGCAGATAGCTAGATGTCCATTAGGAGCTCTCTGCTTCGATGTAGGCTTTAGAGAGCCCATTAATTCTGGGAACAGTGGGAAGAGAATATATTCATCATAGAGGATGGATAAAATAAGCTGAGCAGACTTTCTCTCAGGAGGAGGTATTAGACTCATTGTTCCTCATGGTGAAGCATGGAATGCACAGGGACTGTTGTTGATGCATGTTCGAACTTAAATACTTTTAGGCTTTTAGTGTTTATTTGAAGTGTTTTGAAAGCATTTGGCTCATGCGTTTATGAATTTATCATGTTTTCTAATGGAAACATTGTTGTTTTTTGGTCATTTTAGTTTCTCTTTTGTGTCTGTTGCCCTGTGAATTGCAGTTGTTTAATGACCGAGAACCTAAAGTGTCATATGTTGTGCTATTTATTAATGGAATTTGTACTCTGGGAAACAAAGGGTCTCTTGGCCGAGAGCTCAGAGCCGCGTGCCGCAATAAGCACATCACAATGCGCCCACTGTTAGACGCAACTCAGAATTATTTAACTTGTGTATCTTGAATTCCAAGGACTTTGTAAGCATAACAGATAACAATGCATTGCTCATCTGTTTTTTTTTTTTTAGTGCTCATCTTTTAGTGCAGCCAGTGTGGCAGAAATTCCTTCAGACAATCAGCCCTTAGTCATTGTGGCGGCTGGGTAGTCAGTGATAATTTCATTGGCCCCTTTGCAAGCTGAATTGAGTCAGTGATCTGTCAAGAATAGGTCATTATGTGCTGAATATTAGGTCTGTTTCTTTGACTCAAATGGTAGCCGCTTGACTGCTATTGCTGATCTTTCTAAAACAACATGGTGTGTTTGAAGTATACAGGCCAAATTGCGTGTTTGTGTTTGTATATTGTAATGGAAGATATTTTTCTGTGCTATGCTAAGTACTGGATAAGGATGTGCTAAACAGCATACAAAATCAATTAGAAGGTTATTTGTTTGAATGACTAGTTCTTTGAACTAATCGGTCTAAACTGAAAGTCTGTGCATTTCAGAATCATCTGTCCTCAATCAGACATGTTTCTTAAGGGGATGTTAACTTCACTTTTTTATAATTTGTTGAATTTTAATAATACACTATCATTCAAAAGTCTGGGGTCGGTACGTTTTTTTTTTTTTAAAGAAGTCTCTCATGCTCACCAATGCTGCATTTTATTTGATTAAAATACAGTATTGTGTATTGTTATTTTAATATTTAAAAATGCAATTTATGTCTAAGTATGCTGTATTTTTATTTATTTATTTTTTGTGGAGACTGTGAGACATTTAAATAAAAACTAGTTCTTTTACAACTATTTAACCATCGTAGCTGGATGAAAAGTTTACTACTTGATGCTCAGTTTGACCAGCGGATTGCATCCTCAGCTGTATATTGATACTATTCAACATGCAAACTCCTCACCTTTCGGTGAAAACTCACCTTTTCGAGATCAAAATAGGTCACCTATGAGATTCATGTAGATCCGATGAGAAAGTGTTTTTTGGGGTGGGTGGGGTATTGTTGTTCAGGCTAATCATGTTTCTTTTTTTCTTTCAAGGTTTAAAAATAAATATTTTTCTTGATCACTCAGGAAGAAACAGAACAAAAGAATAAAGAGCATTCTTCAGTGCCCTAAAACTGAGACTTTAATGTAGACCCTATCGAAACCTATCTGGACAGTAACCCTACCCATAACATCATTACCTGCTTACATTTCAGGTCAACCCAGTCCACATGCTGAGTGCTCTGAAGAGATTCCATCCATTCAGTGTCTGTCATGGTTTGTGCTCTTTGTTTAGCTTGATAAATGTGGCCCTCTGCTATTCTGTGCTTCATCGCGTCAGCACCACATTTCCATGGGAACAGGTAACCAGAGAGTAGGTGTTACCTGTGGATAGAGGTCTGTGCAGCCCAGCCTCCAGAGACATGAAAAGCAGCTCTGTGTTCTATAGCGACGGCTCACTTTCACGCTCACTGGGCCTTTGTGCTCTCCATACTGAGCTGTGATTGAGCACCGTTCACACGCCCTGCCCCCACCCTCCCCAAAAACGCCTGGGCCTTGTTGTGCTGTTGCGACTGCTCCGTTGGGCAAACAGATACTTCCTTGAGTACACACTGACCCCATGTTTTGGTTTGCCTATAAACCCTTCCTACTGGGAGATATATTTGGCAGTAGAGCCCGGAGATTTCTCTTACGAGTCTTAAACCTCGATGAACAATCAATTCCCTGACTGATGAGGCCTGCTTTAACAGGTAGTGCCGTTTTTTGAATTTGTGTGCAAACATTTAAGTGTGGTTGTCAACTTTAGACCAACTTAAAATTTGTTTAATTGAAGTAGTAAAAGTTATTAGGTGCTTCATTCTCCCTTCAGAAAATCACAATGTTGATCCTTATGAATATTTGTTGGGTGAATCATTATGATAGATGAGCTAAATGGTTATATCTGGTCATTATGTCTTTTGGTCGTGAGGAAATTTGTAAATTCAGTGGCGAACAAAAGGTATTTGCATTTTTCAACCCATTTTCATTGCAGTGCTCAAAACTGAGACTAAAGTGCAAGGCAAATGTGATAAAATATAAAAATATATGACAGTGATTTAAAGTTATTCTGTATTAGTGACCGTAGGGAAAATTTTGCGCACCCATGAGCAAATTCATCAGATATTGTATTATTAGAGATGTTTCCAGCACACAATGATGAACACAGCGCAAGCTCGTGCTCGTGAGTTAGTACTTTCAGATTCTGATTCAGAATCAGATTCACTCAGTCAGTGATTAGTCTCACTTTGTTGTGAGCAGATTCATATTTTATTTTTTAACATATAAAAAATATCATATACAAATATATTTTATATTATTTTATTATAATATTATATATTACAATTTGTGTAATTTGTTTGATTTATACAGTTTATTTTATCATTTAATAATTTGTCTAATTTTTCAGCTAAAAAAGTAGTTTGGCTCCTAAATGTATAATTTTAGGTTTAGGTCATTGCCTAGTCTTTTTTTAGTCTGGAGCTCTGCAGTTGAGTTTTAGGATCTGGCTTTATGAGTTGTGTATTCATGTTGCAAAACGCCGTCTCATTTGTTCTGTAGGTGTCGTTTCAGTCGTTGACTGATTTGTATCCTAGCAGGCCATTGTACTGACATCTTATGATGGCCCATTGTCCTGCATTATTCACACGAGAACGGGGTCTGCTCAGCAAAGACGTCAAACCACGGCAACAAATTTCAGATGATGCATCAAAAGGACGCTGTTTTAAAGTCTTTCAGAAGTAACTGCAAATCCATCAAGTGTGAAAGCCAATCCATTTTCAAGTCTGCCGAGGTGTAGATCAGTAGTTATCTTTTACTACCACCGATAGACCTTGAATTGTGAAGCAGCTGTGTGTTCTGTGAGAACTCGCACCTCGCTCGCACTCGAGGTGAGAACGGAGGCGTCTGTGGTGTTAACTGACAAAGGCTGCGGTAGATCGCACTCTGGGTGTGATCACTGTCATGAAAAGGTTTCTGGGCCATACTGACCGGAAATAGCCACCCTTCGTTAAACCATTTAAACATGCCATATGTGTATAGGACACCGGAGGAAGCTAGGGCTGGCGATATATCGATATATATTTTTTATAAACGATATGGTACAAGGCAATACCGTTTATATCGATATTCAGTAGTTCGATACGAGCACATCTGAAAAATAAAGTGGAAGACAGAGGGAGCTGCTGCAGGGAAACTACATAATCCAATTTGTCCTAAACATGAGACAAGCTTATATTAAGGGCTTTAAAAAAACTCGATAAGATATACTCAACACGTATAGTTTAAAGCTGCTTGCCCTGTCAGATGCTCTGACGGATACATGTGCTGCTGACAGAGACACTGCTTGCGCTGTTTAATGTGTTTGAGATGTGCTGTTTCCCTCAGTGCATAACTTACATTTCACAGGTATATTCTCCATCTGTAAATGTTAGAAAGTCATGGAAATATTTCCTTCTGCATGCATTGCGAGTCTCCACTAAACTTCACAGACTTCAGTGAACGAGTGCCGCCACATGTGTGCGCCAAACAGACAGAGCGCAATGAAATAGGAGCGCAAGAATTCTCACTAAAATATACAGTTTGCTGAAATATTTGTAGTTGGAAAATAAATGTGACATACGTAGAATTTTAAACCTACAAGTAAGTGTATTTTTATAACAGTAACTGTAAAGTGACTATAATGCGGTAATCAAAATAGCCTAACACAATTAGTCTGTGCTAGTGTTGTCAAAAGACCCGGTATTTCTGTACCAAGTCGGTACTAAAAAAATTAAAACGTTACGGTACCAGGTTTTTTTAAGTACCGGTGGCCGAATACTGAAATTTTGGTACCGTGACAACACTAGTCTGTGCTTTTGTTTTTATTTATTTTCATATTTAGTTTAGTAAATTTTACTTATGCATTAGAAGCATTATTTTTGTTTTTAGATTGTAATGTTAGAATGTAATGTGATTTTAACCCTTTTTTGTACATAATATATATGTATATAGCCTACGTGGTTACATTCACTTTATTTGTTTTCATAGCGTTTAATATGTGTTGTTTTGTTGGACAATATTGGGCAGGATGTGAATAAAAAAAATTAAAAAAAATCAGATTTTTAAAAAATCCAAATAGAAAAACAAAATACAGAGAAATATATTGTAGACTATATCGCAATTCAGCCAAAATAATATAGAGAGAGATAATGTGCAGAAAAATATTTCTAACTGTGTAAAGTGTCGTTTTGGATATTATTTTAGGTATTTATGTGGTTTTGTTTCCCAGTTGCCATATATATAAGTTTTTAGGCTGTTCTGTCTTTACAGATCTAGAGGGATTCTAGCAGATGGATGAACAAGCATGGCTGACACCATAACCTTTGGCCTCCCCTCATCAATCAAATCATAATGCAACAAACACGCATTCACACTTTGCTATTGTTTTGGAGGTCTGCCAGTTTAATGCAGATCTCCAAGAATATCACTCGGTCTCGCTCACTATTTTAAGATGCTCATTCACCAGCGCGTCCCCAACCCCCCAGTGTCAAATAATGGTCAAAATTAGGCTGAACAAAGTATGTTGCTTAATTGCTTTATGCTCGACTGCAATAGAAACAATTTCTCATGGGTTTCTGAGCCAACAGCTAATTAATTGCTTCCGTTTGCCATTAATGAAGACTGTTGTTAGTTCTGTAGAGTATGAGTGCAGAATTGCAGGAAAAAGTCTTGATGAGTGCCACCACCCAACAAGTGATATTATCAAATCTTCCACAAAATCTGTATAATTCAATTTTAGCAACTGCAAAAGAAGATTGATAGGCTTGTTCAATGATATAATTGTAAGCAATATTTTTGTAAAAGTTTAAAGCCACTGTTTGTAATGTTTATTATATGCTTTCGTCAGTCATAATAATCTTTGAATTATGTACATTTGAAGAGTTTTCTTGACAAATATTGATAAAAGCAATTTATTAGAATTATGCTAATTTGTTTGCCAGTTGTATGTAATTTGATTTATTTTTAATTCAAATAACTAATTTTTATACTTAATTACATTTACCTGAAGTCTTTTTTTTTTTTAATGTACACTACCTTTAAAAATGTGAAAAAAGTCTCTTGTGTACAATAATTCAGGCTTCCCTTTCTTGTTCCAAAAAAGTGAGAAATGAGAATGATCTTCTGTGACCAAAAGTCAGCGGTGTGTTCTTACAACCGTCTTACTGTAAACTTTTGACTCGAGCATATGTGATACACCACAGCACTTTGTAAAGTTGTACAAGTCTGTGACCTTGTAAATGAATGAAACAAGAGCATCTCATTATGGGATTAGGTGTCAGTGGGTTTACATGATGGTTAACAGGATTGCATGCCAGGCATAGCACAATAGTGCCTGACCCAGACCCCCCATCTGTGCTCGGCACATGCTGTCTGACTGGAGCCCCTGCAGTAATATTTGTCATCGATCAGATGACGTAGCGATAGCTGCACATGGTCTGCTTCCTATCCGGTCACAGTGACGCAATCTCACTGGATGGCTGTGCTGGATAAAGCATGTAAAAGACTGTGACTAGGCGATTCTCTGCTTGCCAACTCCAATATGTAATGTGTTTGGATATAAAGCCGCTGGCTTGTTCCAGATGCCTCTGCTTTAGTATGACAGACAGGGTTTATTTATCCCTTTAGACATGCAAAAAACACGCACATAGGACCCAGTTAGTCTGAGGTTCTTTAGTATTTGTCTGAGATCTCCTAATCTTGGGTGCTGCTGGGATGGAGGCAGCTCCAGGCCAACTGTGTTTCCTCACTCGGCTGCATCATTAACCACTAATTTGTGCCTGCTAGCATTCAAAAGATTTGATTACAGCTAAATGGCTTAATTTGCGGATATTATCCAAATGACTGTAATCTGGAGAATGGATGGTGGCAAAGGTTTTGTGCTTGTCAAATA